TCATTTCATTTCATTTCATTTCATTTCATTTCATTTCATTTCATTTCATTTCATTTCATTTCATTTCATTTCATTTCATTTCATTTCATTTCATTTCATTTCATTTCATTTCATTTCATTTCATTTCATTTCATTTCATTTCATTTCATTTCATTTCATTTCATTTCATTTCATTTCATTTCATTTCATTTCATTTCATTTCATTTCATTTCATTTCATTTCATTTCATTTCATTTCATTTCATTTCATTTCATTTCATTTCATTTCATTTCATTTCATTTCATTTCATTTCATTTCATTTCATTTCATTTCATTTCATTTCATTTCATTTCATTTCATTTCATTTCATTTCATTTCATTTCATTTCATTTCATTTCATTTCATTTCATTTCATTTCATTTCATTTCATTTCATTTCATTTCATTTCATTTCATTTCATTTCATTTCATTTCATTTCATTTCATTTCATTTCATTTCATTTCATTTCATTTCATTTCATTTCATTTCATTTCATTTCATTTCATTTCATTTCATTTCATTTCATTTCATTTCATTTCATTTCATTTCATTTCATTTCATTTCATTTCATTTCATTTCATTTCATTTCATTTCATTTCATTTCATTTCATTTCATTTCATTTCATTTCATTTCATTTCATTTCATTTCATTTCATTTCATTTCATTTCATTTCATTTCATTTCATTTCATTTCATTTCATTTCATTTCATTTCATTTCATTTCATTTCATTTCATTTCATTTCATTTCATTTCATTTCATTTCATTTCATTTCATTTCATTTCATTTCATTTCATTTCATTTCATTTCATTTCATTTCATTTCATTTCATTTCATTTCATTTCATTTCATTTCATTTCATTTCATTTCATTTCATTTCATTTCATTTCATTTCATTTCATTTCATTTCATTTCATTTCATTTCATTTCATTTCATTTCATTTCATTTCATTTCATTTCATTTCATTTCATTTCATTTCATTTCATTTCATTTCATTTCATTTCATTTCATTTCATTTCATTTCATTTCATTTCATTTCATTTCATTTCATTTCATTTCATTTCATTTCATTTCATTTCATTTCATTTCATTTCATTTCATTTCATTTCATTTCATTTCATTTCATTTCATTTCATTTCATTTCATTTCATTTCATTTCATTTCATTTCATTTCATTTCATTTCATTTCATTTCATTTCATTTCATTTCATTTCATTTCATTTCATTTCATTTCATTTCATTTCATTTCATTTCATTTCATTTCATTTCATTTCATTTCATTTCATTTCATTTCATTTCATTTCATTTCATTTCATTTCATTTCATTTCATTTCATTTCATTTCATTTCATTTCATTTCATTTCATTTCATTTCATTTCATTTCATTTCATTTCATTTCATTTCATTTCATTTCATTTCATTTCATTTCATTTCATTTCATTTCATTTCATTTCATTTCATTTCATTTCATTTCATTTCATTTCATTTCATTTCATTTCATTTCATTTCATTTCATTTCATTTCATTTCATTTCATTTCATTTCATTTCATTTCATTTCATTTCATTTCATTTCATTTCATTTCATTTCATTTCATTTCATTTCATTTCATTTCATTTCATTTCATTTCATTTCATTTCATTTCATTTCATTTCATTTCATTTCATTTCATTTCATTTCATTTCATTTCATTTCATTTCATTTCATTTCATTTCATTTCATTTCATTTCATTTCATTTCATTTCATTTCATTTCATTTCATTTCATTTCATTTCATTTCATTTCATTTCATTTCATTTCATTTCATTTCATTTCATTTCATTTCATTTCATTTCATTTCATTTCATTTCATTTCATTTCATTTCATTTCATTTCATTTCATTTCATTTCATTTCATTTCATTTCATTTCATTTCATTTCATTTCATTTCATTTCATTTCATTTCATTTCATTTCATTTCATTTCATTTCATTTCATTTCATTTCATTTCATTTCATTTCATTTCATTTCATTTCATTTCATTTCATTTCATTTCATTTCATTTCATTTCATTTCATTTCATTTCATTTCATTTCATTTCATTTCATTTCATTTCATTTCATTTCATTTCATTTCATTTCATTTCATTTCATTTCATTTCATTTCATTTCATTTCATTTCATTTCATTTCATTTCATTTCATTTCATTTCATTTCATTTCATTTCATTTCATTTCATTTCAATGTCCCGTTCAAATCTGCCCTGTTTGCTTTGTTCAAATCTGCCCCACGGTCACTTGGAAAATAAAATATTACAAATAACGCGCCCGCGGCTAACTTCATTATGTTAAAATTTTGTGTTACAGTGATGAAAATTTCACTCTCATAATTTTTTCATAACGCGGCTAAAGAAGTATAACTTCAATAATTAAAAAGTATTAAGTTGGGGGAAAAAGTTTCTTCGCATTTTATATGAAAATTCAAAAGATTTTTTAATAAAGTTTATTTACATTTAACTAAAGTATGTAGGTGCCATTTTGTTCGATAACTTTTTGTCAACTTGTTAGTAGGGACATGATACCATTGCTATAGAAATTTTGGGGATCCTGGTCAAAAAACCTCGGTAAATGGTTTTGGCAGTCCACTTATAATGTTAATCTGACACTGCCTAAAGAATTCTGAAGAGACCGAAACAGGTGGAAATCTGAAGGTGCAAGGTAAGGACTATACGGCAGATGCATTTACACCTCCCAGTCAAACTCTCTTAATTTTTGCTGAGTGGCAAAAAGATGTGTGAGCTCTAGCGTTATCACGATGAAAAACCCACACCCCTTCTGTTGATTAATTCCGAGCGCTTTCCCTCAACGTCTTTCTTTAATATCATCAGTTGTTCGCAGTAGAGCTCAGAATCGATGGTTCTGCCTGGCGGTAACAGCTTATAATTAACTAGCGGTCCGCCCTCGCTTCGCTCCGGTGTAGAGATGAAGTGTAGACTACAGTTTTTGTTCTCAGACTTTTATTATACACAATGACATTCATCTATGATTCTTCTTATACCTGCATGCAAAGTCTCAGCCCGATCGGTTTAAAAATGACAAAGTTTCATACAAACTTTCATTCCCTATTTTATCCCCTTGGGGGTAGAATTGATCAAAATCCTTTCTTAGCGGATGCCTACGTCATAACATCTACCTGCATGCCAAATTTCAGCCCGATCCGTCCAGTGGATTGGGCTGTGCGTTGATAGATTCTACCGACACCGACTATACCACGGCGAGTGTTCTGAGGAGCTATTCTCGCTTATCCCTCCATCACCTTTTCTTCAGAGGACCACGCGCGCTGGCCTACGTTGCCACCGACTTACTGTGGCCACTATTCCTACACGAACAAAGAAATTTGGCGACTCATTTCTTTGTCATACTATTCGTAAGTGGAATTCTATGCCCGCGCACGTGTTCCCTCCTTCCTATAATCTGGGGTCCTTTAAGAGAGGCGTGAAGAAGCATTTTTGCGGGCCGGCAAGGTGAGGATGGTTGATGTAACAGTTTATAACTGCTGTACCAGCTATCTTCGCGTTTGGACTTTATCACCACTTAACATCAGGTGGGGTAGAGTCATTTGCCTACCTAATCATATAAAAAAAAAAAAAAAAAAGATCACTATGTCAGTCAGTCACCTTTGAGTTTTATATATATAGATAATGCCCTTCTTCCACTCTCACCATACACCCAGCATCACCTTGTTGCGAGTTAACGCGGGTTTCGCCAGAGTCTGTGAAGCCTGACCGGCCTTTGACCACGACCTTCTTCGCACATTTTTGTCGTACGTGATCCATTTGTCATCACCAGTTATCAGCTTCTTAAAAAATGGTTCGGTTTCATAACGTCGTTGTAAAGAATCTCAAATGAGTAGACGGTTCATTAGGGTTTCTTTCAGTGAGCTCATGAGGCCCAAATATCGAGCTTTTTTGTGTAGGTACCCAGCTTTCTTCAAATGCGCCCAAAACTTTTTTGTGGTCAATTCCTTTTTCAGCTACGTCGTAACTATAGATATACCGATGTTGCTCCACGTCAGCGTTGCCAGATACACTGTAATTACAGCAGATCTACTGTATTTTCACACGATCTACTGTACACTGTAATACCAAAATTACAGTGTATGGAGAACACTGTAATTTATCTACGGGCAAAAATCTATTAAGGGAACGTTCAAGATTGAGTTTAAACCTTACCGTGGCTCTGCGATGGACGCGCGATTCCGCATACCTGCAGGGCTCCGGTTTATTTTTCACCGGCTCTTGAACACATTCGTAGTTTAATGTAAGTAAACTGATCGCAGCCTTTGTGAAATAAACAAATTAAAGACCAGGCTGTATTGGCATTGTTCCCCTTGCCTTCCCAGAACTTAAAAAAGAAAAACCGATTATTCGAACTTGTCAAAAGGCAACCTCCCGTCCTGCGCCACCTCTCTGTTTATGTCACAACCCTTGTTACTATTGAAATAAGAACGAAAATGTCTTATTTTAAACGGGCATGAATAGCGGCATAGTGGCGCGATGTATACTTAGCGGAAATTCCCCGGATGTAGACTAAGAATCACTTCGTAGAGTACGTAGTATTAAGGGCCCAAATTCTGTCAACCGTGTTTTAAGTAAGTTTACAAGCCTTTCGGGATCAACTTAAATAAGTGTAATAGTAAATTGGTTTCATACGCAAATCATTACTCGCATTCGCATTACGAATTTATTTGACTCGTTCAAGTCGTTCTGCTAACCTGGTGAAAGTGATTATTTTCTTTGAAGACTTGATAATTAAAAATGCCTGATTCATCTGATGATAGTGATCATAATATTCTAAGCGGACCACCAATACCAAAAAAATCAAAAAAGGTACATTATAAACAAAAATTCAGAGACGAGTGGTTAAGAGACAATAGTTTTAAAAATTGGTTGCGGCGTGACCCAAAAGACCCGTATCATGCAGTTTGTGTTTTGTGTGATGCAAAAATGATAGCTGACAGAGTAGTGATAAAGAGACATGGTGAAGGTGCTAAGCATGTAAAAAAAACTACAGCAGTGCCAGGTCAATCTTCGATTGCCACTACATTTGAAAAGGCTAAGCAGTCCGATGATGAAAAATGCAAAGCATCTGAGATAAAGTTGGCCGCTTTTATGGCAGAACATAAAATTTCCCTCAGGGCAATGGACCACTTAATTGATTTATTGCCCATTATGTTTCCAGACTCTCAGATTGCAAAAAATATGAAGATGAAGAGAACGAAATGTCAAGCAATAATAAACAGTATTCTAGGAGAATCGGAAAAGCAAGATTTGTATGCAGATCTAAAGGAGCATAAATTCTCAGTCATGATTGATGAAAGCACTGATATCGGAGCAGTAAAAACTATGTGTGTTGTGGTCAGATATTACTGTGCAATAAAAGGTCAAATAGTGAGCAGATTTTGGGACCTAATTCAAATACATGGCGATGAAATCTCTGCTACTGTGGCTGCCGCCACAGCTCAACATCTCTTCGAAGCAGAAATAAAATCCTTCGAGGAAAATTCTATTCCTACTGAAAACATTATAGGATTTGGATCAGATGGCTGTAATACAATGATGGGGTGTCACAACTCTGTTTCGAGTCGGTTTAGAGCAAATGTCCTGGAATTATTGTTCTGAAATGTGTTTGCCATTCCCTGCACCTTTGTGCGAGTGACGCATGTAAACAGTTACCAGCTGAATGTGAAAAGCTAACGCGTGATATCTACAATTATTTTGCGACGAGTAGCAAAAGACAATCGCTATTAAAAGAGTTTCAAGTATTCACAGATACAGATATACACAAAATTTTGAAACCGGCTCAAACGCGATGGTTATCACTAAGTGTTGTAGTGCAAAGAATTTTGGAACAGTGGAATGCACTAACACTGTTTTTTGATGGAAGATGGCTCGAAGACAACGAATGTTCCGAAATCCACTTGCAGTTAAATGATCCCATTACAAAATCATACTTTTTCTTCTTGAACTGGATGTTACCTAAATTTACTGAAGCTAATACGTTATTTCAGAGTGAGACTCCTATGATCACAAAACTCAATACTAAAATGTGCGATCTTTTTCACGAACTTTTATCGACATACATGACAGCGACACATATTGCAAACACCGAACTAGAAAAAATTGACCCAACTGACGAAAATAATTTCAAAAGTTTAGATGACATCTACCTTGGCTTGGGAGTTTCTAAACAGTTTTCAACAAATGAAATAGCAACCGAAAGAAAAAAGGATTTCAAAAGGAAATGTCGAAATTTTTTGATTAAAGCATGTGTAGGCATCCGCAAAAGATTCGCGCTAAATGATCCAGTATTGGTTGGAATATCCAAATTAGATCCTGCAAATTGTCTTAATATCACAGATCGAGATGAGTCAATTCAAAATTTACTAAACTTGATACCAAGATTGGCACCAACTTCTATGGAGGAACAACAAGCTTTGGATGATCAATGGCGAAAATTGCCAAAGTTAAAAGATAAATTCGATGCAGCAATACGGCCTGATGAATTCTGGCACAGGGTTTGTATCTAAGACATATTTTTTTATAGAAATATACCTATTTATTTCGTTTGGCAACTACAATATTTTTAATTCTAATGTTGCTTTTCAGGTGAAACAGTTGGACGAGTTCTGCTCGATTGGAAAATACATGCTCAACATCTTGACTCTTCCAAACTCCAACGCGGAATGCGAGAGAATGTTTAGCCAAATTAACGACACCAAAACCAAGAAACGAAATAGATTAATAACCAGGACAATAAGAGGCAACATGTTAGCGCAACAAGCCATTCGCCGTAACAGCACGAGTTGCATTAATTTTAAACCAACAGAGAAAATGATAAAATCATTTAATTCGGGGATCTACAAAAAAGAACCGGCTATTGGGCTAAATGATAGTGACAGTGATTGATAAGTGCTTAGTTAGTTAACTGAAAACATTAATTTCATTTAAATTTTAGCAATAAACGTTTCTTGATATCTGCTGTAAAAATCACTGTATTTTTTTTTTACATTTACTGTAATATTGTCTCAAACACTGTATTTTTTTGCACCCAACACTGTAATATTAGTTTCCTCATCTGGTAACACTGCTCCACGTTTTAAAAAATGCCATCCATTTTATCCGTAACAGAAAAACCAGAACGACGTGCATTAAGATATCAAAATTTCCGGATTGAAAACGTTCAAACCAAATTGTGCTACTCTCACAGACACACACACAGTAGGTATATAATCATCACAAATTTTCACGGCTTGCGTTGCATATTTAACTTTTTTGGAGTATAATATTAAAATGTATCGAATTGCTTGAGCTAATAAAAATCATCGCTCATCTTGGGAGTAAGAAAAACAAATGAATATTACACATTTTTCGAATTAGAATTTGGAATTATCTTCTTTAAAATTTAAACTTTTTAATGTTACCAAAACCAGCCAGATACAAATGTTACGGCCAAAGATATTTTATTTGAAGTTCATACATACTATAATAGTATGCTATACTATAATACTATATACAAAAAGACTTTTTCCCCAACCTATTATAACCGCTTTACGCTATACTGATGTCGATTCTGGCATGATTCTCTAAAGCTAAACTTAAATTTGACAACAGTGCATCCCCGTCATTCTCTATACAGAATGAAAAGGAGAGACTGATGTTAAATTTAGTTTTAAGTTTAGAGAATCACGCCAGAATCGACACCATTGTCTCCATAAAATTTAATTTAGACAATTTCGTGGGCAGAAGCTTAATATCATCGCAAAGTTGTTAATAATACTTAGCTACTCTAAATGAATCATTGGGCTACTACGATCCAGTGAGACTTCAATGCATACACATCTACGCTTTGTTCAGCTCGGTACACACGCACGACGACCCCGTAATCCTTAGGGATGACATATCCCAATTTACATAACGCCCGAAAAATTGAGATTTTCAGCAAATTTATCCCTTTGCTTACGTAATTCAAGCAATTTCTTTGACATACATGAAAAGGCATTGTACGAGGCGTTTTAGGGGGAACCCTTCGAGGAAAAACATAAATTTGCTTCCGCGTTCTTAATTTAAAATTTATTGTTTTTTTTTCTTGCTCCCACGCTGGACCAGTGACAAGTGATTGAATAACATGGAATGCGGAATTTGCTAAATTTCCAGACTGTATTTTCTTTTCTTACAAAATATATTTCTATTAAAACTAAAATCTTAAAATACTGTAAACTAATTGCAAACATTGGAAAAGTTAAAAATCTTGCAGTTAAACAGTAAATAGGACAAAAATTTCACAGGTGGGATCATGATAAGCCGTTGGGGAGTGCGGCTTCATCCTCGCAGAGACCAGAGCGCTGCCATCTGTGGCGGGTAGGGATACTCGATATACATCGATGCATCGAAAACATCGATGTTTGCAATGAAAAACATCGATACGATCCGATGTTTTGAATAGCTTTCAATATACTCGATGCATCGATGTTTTAAAGAAACATCGAATTGGTAATAGAGTTTGACCACGTAGTGATAATATCCTCTTCGGTTTGACCTCAGTAAAAAAACTTACTTATTACTATTATGAAAGCATCATTATTCCGAATTCTCTGATATGGACCCGATGTTGGCAGAGTCAGTGCAGTGACAATAAAAAATAACTACGAGTTTCTATGTTTATAAACATTTAATAACCTTTAGTTTTGTGAAAGAAATTAAGATTGAAGTATATTTCTAATATCCTTTTGACAGACTTCGCAAACATTTTGCGGGTTATTTAGCGTTTTTTATATGATCTTTTGTAAAAATATAATACAGATTTTTCTGACACATGACTTTTACTTGTATTTAGTTTTACCTACTCATTATGAAAGGAGTTAATTCTATTATTTTATGAAAGATTAATATATAAACTATAATAAAATTATGGATTAAGGTCTTTTCAAAAACTTCAATTGTAATTTTTTTTACTATGAAAAGATGGCCTCTTTTGAGATGGGTCACTTTACACATAAGTTGAGTTTTGTAATAAAATTTCAGAAAAAGTACTCGATGTTTAAAATACATCGATGTTTTCATCCGATACATCAAATGACATCGATGTATAGTTGCGATGTATCGAATCAAAAAATACATCGATGTTGTTTCACAGTGGACACCCCTAGTGGCGGGTGCCACGTATACACATACTGCTGGCCCTGATGATCGCGATCTGGATTCTTGCGCGTGACCATCCCATTATTGAGGCGAGGGGCCGGCTCCAGCGGTCTGCTAGTGCTTCGGCAAAATGTTTGGCGAAGCTTTTCAATTGTGGGGCGAAGACTCCGTCGACTGAGGTTACCAGGGGTGTAAAGGTGGAGTGGCGCGACTCGCATGGGCCACAATATTTCCTCATTTTTTCGTCTTCGGCTGAGCGAAGGACGGCTGCAACTGGGCGTGATGCGTAGGAGGGAGCGTATATAGCGACTGTATTTTCTCTGCCAACGAACAGAGTTGAAAGTTTGAGGGACAGTAAATTTTCCACCCTATTTGGAGCGCTGGTTAGGCATTCTTCATTATATTTATGAAGTTATACTTCTTTAGGCGCGTTATGAAAAAATGATGAGAGTGAAAGTTTTAGATGCGCGCGCATCACTGTAACCCAAAAGTAACAGCATGAAGTTGGCCGCGGGCGCGTTATGAAAAAATCATGTGAGTGAAATTTCGAGATGCGCGCGCATCACTGTAACACAATAGTAACACCATGAAGTTGGCCGCGGGCGCGTTATGAATGTTAGTGGCTAATAATGGTGGATTATTAACCACTTAGTGGTTAATAATCCACCATTATTAGACATCTGTTCGAAAGGTACTTTGAACGATCCACGGAGCTCCATAAGATGATCGCGTTGTCAAAAACAATGTTGGCACGCTCGTCGCCTCTGATCACTGTTTTCATATCTACTATATAAAAATAAGTCGGGTTTTCCTTCCTGACGCTATAACTCAAGAATGCACGAACCGATTTCCACGGTTTTGCATTCGTTGGAAAGGTCTCGGGCTCCGTGAGGTTTATAGCAAAGAAAATTCAGGAAATCTACTATATAAAAATAAGTCGGGTTTTCCTTCCTGACGCTATAACTCCAGAATGCACGAACCGATTTCCACGGTTTTGCATTCGTTGGAAAGGTCTCGGGCTCCGTAAGGTTTATAGCAAAGAAAATTCAGGAAAAATTTCAAAAAAAAAAATCTTCTTTTAATCACCAAACGAAATGTTACATAAAACGAAGCCATCTGATGGCGAAACGGAGTTCGCCTGGTTTGCTAGTTTATAATATTTATCCACATGTTTCTAGTTTCTATATAGACACAACGTGTTTTAGTTACTTACAAGTGCTAATTACATATGGACTAATAACTTAAATTCAGTGATTTTAATTCAATATTTCGAATATTTATTTAATTTTTCAAATTAAAACTGAACTTAATTGACTGTGTTAACTATCCTTTTCCAGTCCTTTTATTATTTTATTGTAATTATTAAAAAATATTTTTAATGATGCTAAAGAAGTATAACTTCTCACGCGCGTACATAAGTTACACGCATCCATTTTTATTGTTATCTTGTTCTTCTATACTTTTATATCATGCGCTAATCTCAGGAACTCCTGGTTAAAATTTTAAAAATATTTTTAAAAATTAGAAGGCTGAAAGACTCACCCTTAGACTAATAAGAGTTTGGTTAAAGGTACTAAAAAATCATGTGTTACGGAATTGTTCACCTTTAAAGGTTCCAAAATAATCAATTATTATTATCTTTTCAGATTGGCTCACTTTGACCATTTTCCTTAAATTACCGCGGATGAAACCACTAGGCACATTCAGTTTGTTGTAATATATTTATGTCTTTATAAATGTTTACAAGAAAAAAACTAACTCTACCCATTTCAGAAACGAACCAGTGTGTATCGTTTACTGGGCGAATGCATTTACCACTATTTTATTGAGACCTTGCATTAGTCAAATTGACGATGCTGGCTGATTCGATTCTATCCTTGATACAGTTTCTATTAAAATTTTCATTTACGAGTATTATGAAAGGCATCCTTCAGTGCTACAGGCTTGAGACAAGGCTGTATGATAATTAATCCTTTAATTTTTGCAAATGGACAAAATAAAACTTCACAGATTTCCTGTCAGGCAGACGATAACAAATTATTTGTATTTATATTTGCTTTAACTGATGAACTCTTCACAAAAAAACTTTTTATGAAGAGTTCATCAGAAAAATGGGAAGAAAGATTCTAAGAAAATGCGAAATTAATGACTGTAAAAAGGGAATTAGTTACATCTTTTATGAACTATAGTAAGGTAATGACATAGTAGGAGTTCTCATAATTTTCAAGATCGTGACTTTATTAAAAGTTCCCGAGTCTTTTTTCATAGAAATTATGTAAATTCAGCCATTTACCATTAAATATTACTAATACTGTACAGTATTTATACATTGCCAGGGCAGTCGCTCATACAAAATTTTACCATGTCCTTTGGTCAAACGATGTATCGCGGTTGGTCGACGTCCGGACGTGTTACACGTATAACTTCCTAGCCTTGGCCACAGATTACTTAATAGTTACTACTTCCTAGGCTTTGATTATTTAATCTCTAGATAGAGCGTGGCAGCGCAGATGCGTTAAAAAAATATCTCCCACCTGGTGGGGTCTAAGTCGTTTCCCGTCAC